CATTGTGCATTGATCCCAAACAATAAGTTTACATTTCTGCAATAGTTTTCCCATGCTGGTTGCTTTGGAAATGTTGCATATGAGAGTTTGAATGAATTGCATGTCCAATGGCAATTTCAAAGCCGAAGTAGCAGTTTTTCCACCTGGTAGCAATATCACAGCTATTCTGGACGATGCAAGAGCTACGGTTATGCCATTTTGGGATCCGAATGCTGCCAGATCAATCTAATTAGGAAGGTTTTACCAGTTCCTCGAGCGCATCTAAGAAGAAGATTTCTCCAAGCCCGTTATTGACAGTTTGAATTATTTGATTGTAAATGCCTTTTCGCTCAAGCGTTAGCTTATGAATATTTGATTGCTCATACTGCAACAGATCACCTGTGTTGTAATTTTGTTCACGCCGCAATTCTACATCGAACGAAGCAGCAGCAGATCGATTCGGTGATGGCATTTCCAATTGGTCGAGAACTTTGTTCGCGATTTCTAAGCAAAAATCTTCAATCATGATCAATGATTCGTTGTAGATTTTTACTGTGAAATCCTTGTTCATATTTTGATTTTCCTTGCATATTCGAGGGATAATATCTTCAGCCATGTGCGATATATATTTCTCCCATAACTCTGTTGGAGATGAGGGAGAGCCGGTGGTCAATATGATCGCAAACAATGCACGAATTTGATTTGGATGTGACGTGTTGAACGCATATTAATGCATACATCCCAGTGTATGTATTGGCTGTTCTCCAATAAATTCAGGTCTAGACATGCACTACGGAAAGTGGCATGTGTTAAGCCGCTGACAAATCTCAATTATTGGAAAGACGTTGGACCGGGCACATTTACCAACAGCATGCGAAGAAAGAAGCATTAATCCTGATTGGGATGCACGGTGTACAGTCTGCCTATCGCAGTTTATATGAATATGCCAGGTTGTCCGTCGACTCGCTCTCCTCGTTTGCGTCGTTCAAATGATTTTCTACTGGCATTCCACGTGTAATACGTAGGCACTTCAGAATACAGCAGGGTTTTCACAAACGCATCATTTTGACATAACATGAAGAAGGCAGTTAATGTTGTAGCCGGTGGATTCATAGCTGTTTGTTGCATATTTGCAGCTGTGAAATAAACGTGTTGTCCATTTTCTTGTTTTCAAAACCAAAACAAAAAATACTAACGAAATATTTCAATTCAAACGTAGATCAATCGACACAACTAAATTCCACCACCAATTGCACTGAAAATAAGAAAAGTAAAAACAAAAACAATAAAAAAAGAAACAAATAAACTATACCAATGAAATGAATGGTATGGTACACAACACAGCTCAATTCCAACGCAATGTCACATAAAATAATTAAATCATAATGAAAATTAATCAAAATCTATGAAAATTCAATTTATCAATGCAATCGGAAACATTGAAATGGAATCGCAACATATTTTGTATAGCATGTGTTGCTCTTACGTGCAACAGATGGCGCTGTTTAAAAAAAAAAAACATGTTTTTACCTGTCACAGGTGTGGCATCTAAATAGTAGGTATATAAAAACATGCACGTATTCGAATGGAACGTTGTGTCAAAATTTCAAAGCAATCGGTGAAGAACTTTCGGAGATTACAGCATGTGTTGCTCTTACGTCCTACAGATGGCGCTGTTTTTCAAAAAAAGCATGTTTTTTCCTGTCACAGGTGAGGCATGTATATAGTAGGTATATAAAAAAAACTCGTCTATTCGAATGCAACGTTGTGTCAAAATTTCAAAGCAATAGGTAAAAAGGTTTTGAAGATTTCCCTCACATGAAAAACACATGGAAAAAACACAGTTTTCAAAAAAGCATGATTTTTCCCATCACAGACGTAACATCTATATAGTATGTATATAAAAATCCGCTCGGATGCGAATGGAACGTTGTGTAAAAATTTCAAAGCAATCAGTGAAGAACTTTCGGAGATTAGCGATTTTGAACAAACGAACATTTCCACTTTTATTTATATAGACTAGCAGTACCCGGCCACGCATTGCTGTGGCTCAGCAACGCATGTGCGTTGCTGAGCCACAGCAACCTTCTCTGTCCCCCAGTCCTCCCCACCATTCCTCCCCTCACCCATCTCCTCGGCCTCCCAACCATTCCCCACTCCACCGTCCCCTCGTCCTCCCAACCATCCCCTCTTCCTTCCCACCATGCCCCACTCCCCTGTCCCTTTGTCCTCCCCACCATTCTCCATTCCCCCATCCCATCGTCCTAACCATCCCAAACTCCCCCATCCCCTCATCCATCCCCACCATTACCCCCTTCCATGTCCCCTCGTCCTCCCCACCATCTCTCACTTCCGTCCCCTCGTCATCCCCACCATTCCCCACTCCCTCGTCCGATGCCTTCCCAAATGGTCTGATGTTCCCATCAGAAAATTGGGAACATCAAGTGATCTGATGTTCCCATCACTGAAATATAAGAAAAACAGTTAAAAATGAAATGAAAATATGAAAAAAATAAAAAAATAAACTATACTCACGAAATGAACGGTATGGTAAACAACACAGCTCAATTCCAATGCAATTCACACAAAATAATTAAATCAAAATGAAAATAAATCAAAATCTATGAAAATTCAATTTATCAATGCAATCAGAAACATTGAAATGGAATTGTAACATATTTAGTATAGCATGTGTGTTGCTCTTACATGCAACAGATGGCGCTGTTTTTCAAGAAAAGCATAGTTTTACCTGTCACAGGTGTGGCATCTATACTTATACTTACGAAATGAACGGTATGGTAAACAACACAGCTCAATTCCAACACAATGTCACACAAAATAATTCAATAAAAAATAAAATAAATCGAAATCTATGAAAATAAAATTTATCAATGCAATCGGAAACATTGAAATGGAATTCGTGACATATTTAGTATAGCGTGCATGTTGCTATTATGTGCAACAGATGGCGCTGTTTTTCAAAAACGCATGTTTTTACCTGTCACAGGGGTGGCATCTATATAGTAGGTATATAAAAAGATGCGCCTATTCGAATGCAACGTTGTGTCAAAATTTCAAAGCAATCGGTGAAGAACTTTCGGAGATTACTGTGTGTGTTGCTCTTACGTCCAACAGATGGCGCTGTTTTTCAAAAAAAGCATGTTTTTTCCTGTCACAGGTGAGGCATGTATATAGTAGATATATAAAAATACGCGCCTATTCGAATGCAACGTTGTGTCAAAATTTCAAAGCAATCGGTAAAGAGGTTTCGAAGATTTCACAGACTCACATGAAAAACCCGCTCGGATGCGAATGGAACGTTGTGTGAAAATTTCAAAGGAATCGGTGAAGAACTTTCGGAGATTAGCGATTTTGAACAAATGAACATTTCCATTTTTTATTTATATAGATTTTGTACAATCATTTTGGTGGTAGAGTAAACCACCTGATCTTGGATTATCAGGGTATCTCGCAGCAAGTTCTCTGTGTCAGGATCCAAAGGGATCGTGGATGTTTAATCTGTCAGTAGTGAGATCTCTTAACCTTCCTTGGCCTGTCACTAGTGAGAGTGACAGGTGACGTGTTGTGTGTGTGTGTGTGTGTGTGTGTGTGTGTGTGTGTGTGTGTGTGTGTTGTGTGTACAAGTGATTTATATACACATTTTGAGGTATAGGCTGTTAACATCTAGTGCAGTGTATTGAAGGTGATTGATCATTAATGTCTGTGTGACATTCCGATCTCTTTACAGAGATCCAGTAATTGACTAAGTCATTAATTGCTATGTCGATGTGCTACGTCATAGTTATACTGTTACTTATTGGATTATTTTTCGTTTTTGTGACAAGTGTTGATTCTCATTTGTGTATTATTGTGTAGGTGTATTGTATTAATTGTCTTTCATTGGACACTCGTCTGAGTGATAGTGTCATTAGCTGTTAATTGATTAATTATTTGTTGACTTTCTTAGTGAAAATAATTAATATAATTGTTGGTGATTTAATTAACGTAGCCTAGTTGAGTAATTAATTATTAATTGTATTGTTTTGGTTGCCATCCAAGTGACGTGTGTTAACGTAATTGATTGAATGTCTTGGTGACATTGATTGTTAAAGCAATTGTTGTTGTTGTTGTTGTTGTTGTTGTTATATGTCTTAATGACTTTTGCTAAAGTAATTACTTGTAGCGTTATTAGTGTGGTGATAGTTTTTGTTACAGTGTCGTGTTCCATTACATGTGTTCATAGCATGTGCTGGTGTTTGATTTGGCAAGAGTGTACACGAAGTGTTTCAGGTTAGTTCATTGTTGATGATGACCTGTTCTGTGGTTCGAGGCCTCTTGTCTCTATGGACCATTCAGGTGATGTGGTCTGGAGACCTACTGCAACACTGGTGTTTGACAGATTTGAAGTGTCACTCTTGAATTAACGTAAACTGGGTGGCTGTGTATTAGAACGTAAGTTGTTAAATAGACACGTTTTTGCTAAATACACTTGCATTTTATATCATTCCTCATTCAGCAGTATTGCCCCATTTAATATCATTATAATTGTCCTTGAGAGACTTTAGCTGGCTTAGGCTCCAGCACATAACCCCAGTCACCAATTAAAAAGTGAACGACCTAGTGAAGTAAGGGTCTGGTGCTGCATTGTGGAAGTGAAAACCACACTGGTCTTCACCTCCAGCTGTAGCACTGGATCTTTGGCGTTTGCTCACGCCCTCTCACCTTCCAGATTGCCAATTTCACATCAGGATTCCCTATATGGGGCCTGTGTGAGTTTGCAGTCAACTCGGAAGTAATAGCTCACATCTGACACCCAACGTGTGGCTAATTAGTCTAATTCCCCATAGTCATGGGGAGAAGAATCTCACACCACTTTTCCAACTGGTCAGCGCACCGAAGTACTCGCCCTGGTTTTCCAACTGGTCCCAAGACAGTGCACCAAGTTACTCGTTCCGGTGTTCCAAATAGATTTCACTCGTTTCCTTCCAACTCTACCCTTCCCCCTTACCTCCATGTCCTACTTGAAGCTGTGTTGTGCAAGGCAGACGGCTAACAAAACCATTGTGACATTACTTACATTTCCAGTGCGAAACATCTCGTTGAGTAAGTTGACGAGCTTCATGAGTCTCGCGTCCTTCCTGCTGAACCTGGTGCCACCCAGCAACGCCCACAGAATGTTGATGGCTGACACGCCCGCCATGCCCTGGGTGTTAACATCAACCTACATGTTAGTGCATTCATTCAGCGGGGAGTGTATACAGGCAGCCATAAGTGCTTACCGATCAGTGACTTCGGGGAAGCGAAGTCTCGCTCTTTGTTACTCTGCCCTGTTGCGTAACAAGTTAAACGTTCTCATGCTCAAATTCCTTGTCTAATCTATCCTTAATGTTATGGATGGTTGTGGCTTCCTCATCTACCTTTCCTAATCCTAATACACTCCACTTATTGACCACTCGCAAGGGTTACGAGTATTCCTTACATTTCTTTGACCCATTTTTTTTTCCTTCCTGCTATCATTATCTCCGTCCACATTGTTTATTCCCAACAGCATTTTGTGTGTTCTCTGTTTTGTCTGTCTTCCAGGGTTGACGTTCAGTCACTTCAACCTAGCCTCATTCACAAGGTGTGGATTCCAGAGCGAAAGCTGTATATTCCAGTACTGGTCTAACAAAGATGTGTAGATTGCCTTGAAAGAGTCCTGATTTTGGCTTCTAAATGATGTTCTAATGTTCTCTAGCGTCCCATACGCTCCTGGTGTCACCCTGCCTATGTTGATCAGACCACACTAGAAGGTGAAGGGACGACGACGTTTCGGTCCGTCCTGAATCATTCTCAAGTCGACTTGAGATTGGTCCAGGACGGACCAAAACGTCGTCGTCCCTTCACCTTCTAGTGTGTGGTCTGGTCAACATTCTTCAGCCACGTTATTGTGACTCATCACCCAGCCTATGTGTGCCTCAGGTATTAATGTTGGAAATATATCCACTCCCAAATCTCGTTTGTTCTCCAATTCCTGAAACTGCTTTAAATTTATGGTGCAGTTGTGGAATTTATTTGACTCTCTCAATAGATAATTATTAAAATTAAAAGATCTACTAAATAGAAAAGAAAGACAACAGTAAACTTAGCTCTCTACTGTGATAGTAGTAACTGTAATATACAGTAGCCCCTGGAAGGATTGTATTGAATTATTTATGCAATAGTGCACTGTTTTTTAGGCTCAGTGCTCCTTAAGGGATTACAGCAGGAGGGAGATTCTACAGGGAGGGCGGCTGCCTTATTTACCTGTTGAATAATAAATCTCATTAACTAATGGTAACATTAATAGAATTATAACACAGCACGCACTAGTTGTTGTTGTTTTAGGTTCAGCTCTTTGGAACTAAAAGTTCTAAGTAGCACGGGCTATGGTGAGCCCGTAGGCACTACTAACGGATATAAATTATTATTTTAGCTTATCCTTTTCATTCTGATATCTTGTCACATATGAATTATACTATAAACAATGACAAGATTGATTATTTAATTCTAACCTAACCTAATCTAACCTGTAAGGCTCCTCCAATTCGCGTCTTTGGTATTCGTAAATAAAGGTTAAATTAACACTATTATATTTTCATATAAATTTGTTAAAGTCAATCCTACCCATATTATTATCAAGACATAGTGAAGAAGGTAGTAGAGAAGACAGACAGACACTGGCCTGGTGTAGGAGGAGGAGGTAGGAATAGTGAGTCTGGCACCACTCTAGTCCTAGCCCATGAACCGGTTCTTTTAGCTTGCCCCATTTAGGATTAATTTACTAGCAGTGATATTACAGTGAGAGTAAATAACAAGAACACCGCCTTATTCCTACACTTTATCATGTCACTTCCAGTTAACTGTCAGTTTTTTATTCTCTTTACTTTATCACCTCACTTCCGACTGAAGCCATCTCCATTAATAGCACCTATTTATATGTATCCATCTATAGATATTTAATATTTATATGTAATACAGTAACTTATTCGTATAACTTGTATACTCCACTTGAATAATCCATAAGAGCCAAAGAGAGCAAAAGGCCATTAGTGAAATAGACAAAAATACGAAATATTTTTTCTTCTATGCAAAATCAAGATAAAAACTATATCTAATATCGGGTCGAAAGGGAGATGGACCTTTCACAAATGACAACAAAGCAATGAGCGAGATACTGAGGAATCAGTACGACTCTGTTTTCAGGGAGCCACTAAACACACTGAAGATTGATAACCCAAATGAATTTTTCATGGTTGTTATACCAACATCAAATCATATATCAGATGTTGCTCTCGGGACCTGACGGCTGAGTGAACTGTGCTCGGGATTCGTAGTCCTAAACTTCCGGGTTCAATCACCGGTGGAGGCGGAAACAAATGGGCAGAGTTTCTTTCACCCTGATACCACTGTTCACCTAGCTGTAAATAGGTACCTGGGCGTTAGACAGCTGTTACGGGCTGCTTCCTGGGGATGTCTAACAAAAAAGGAGTCCTGGTCAAGGACCGGACCGCGGGGACGCTAAGCCCCGAAATCATATCAAGATAACCATCCTCACTGGATTTTGAAGAATCTATGGACAGTATGCCTATGTTCTCTGCACCAGGCCCTGATTTTTGGAACTCTATATTCATCAATTACTATAAAAAAAAACGAGCAATCGAAGGACCTTCACATTCTTTAGAGACAGAGCCTATTATTGGCGTTATACCTGACATACTAAAAACAGTAGAGATAGCACCATTCTATAAAGGAGGAAATAAGGGAGAGACAAAAAATTACAGACCGATAGCACTAACATCACACATCTTACAAATCTTTGAGAGAGTGCTAAGAAGTAAGATCACAAAACACATGGAATCACAGCATCTCCATAACCCTGGACAACATGGTTTCAGAACTGGGCGCTCTTGCCTCTCACATTTGCTGGACCACTATGACAGGTCTTAGATGCCGTGGAAGACAAGCAAAACGCTGATGTAATTTACACAGATTTCGCAAAAGCCTTCGACATAATAGTTTACACGTGGAAAATATTAGCACGTTATTTCTGTGTGCAGGTTTGGGACCACTGGTCCCAAACATGCACACAGAAATAAGACCACTAGACCAAAAGGCATGGCAAGATGTGCTGAATAACCGCGCTGAAAAGCTAAGTTGCAGTAGGTACTCTGAGATAAAACTCTATCAACATCAGAGGCCCGAGACTGTTCAACATGCTTCCACTAAACATTAATTAAGGGTACACATAACTGGCCGAACCCCTAACAATGTTCAGGAGAGAACTTGATAAACATCTCCAAAGGATACCTGATCAACCACGTTGTGATTCATAAGTCAGGCTGCGAGCAGCCGCGTCCAACAGTCTGGTTGACCAGTCCAGCAACCAGGAGGTCTGGTCGAAAACCGGGCCTCGGAGACGCTGAGCCCCAAAATCATCACAAGGTAACCATGCCTAACATGAAAGAACCAATCACAACACAGACAAACTATTTGTATTTTTTATACTCGTAATTTTAAGACAAAAATAAAAGCAAACTTTTATATGTGATATGATAGAATCATCACAATATATTTGCTTCAAATCATAGAAACCTTGTTTTTCGTAAAACGAGGTTTCACCACCATTAAGTTTGGGTGACATGTTATGTCACCCAAACTTAATATAGTCTTTATATTTCATATTCAATCAACGTGTCATCAACAACAAACTCATTATTTTATAGATAAATGTTTGTAGTAATCTTAAGTTACAGATATAATTTTAGCTCAAATATAACTAATTTACTGAAACCTTCCCTAATCTAAGCGAACATTATCGAGCTAACCTGCCTCAACACAGCAAACTTATCTTAACAAGACTCGACCTAACCTAACCTAATCTAAGTTAAACATTTCCAGCTTATCTTAAGCCACTAATGTTCTATATACAAGTGTACAAGCACCCTTATAATTTCTAGACCTGAATACATACAAAGGACAATATTACTTTGTTAATATTAATAAGCTTACCAACTTTTCTATTAATTTTCTATGAAATTATTATTTGATTATTTTTGCTATCATTGTTGCTTTTACAAAACGAGAAGATAATCATCCCGACCGGACCTAACTCCAATGACTATTAGAAATTTAGAAATTATATTGAGCATTATGTTCATCGTTAATTAACTTATTTTCGGAGGGATTGAGATTATGCATCATACACCCATTTATGCTTTAAAGTTTAACTGACATAGTCAATTATTCTCTTGTAAATTTTAACTGTTAGTTTAAACAAACACCTGCATGTCATCTACAGCATTTTAGCTGCTGTTATGTCACACTGAATTACCTGGAGTGTAACGCTGCCGTTGGCCTCCTGGACCTCCTGGATCAGCTCGCGGGCTTCCTCATGAATAATTTCCTCGTGCGACCTTTTTCCAAATCCAAGGTTGCGAAAATTGTGGAGTGTGAATCGCCTCTGTTCCTTCCAAAAGTCATTCTCCACAAACATTACTCCTGTGGGATGGAACATTACTGATGATATTATGCTCATTTATAGATAAATAGTATGTATGTGGTACCTAATAGACAAAACGAATTACTTGGCCCAGTATGGAAGGCCCGGATTACCTAACAGGCAGTGATTTTTTATATTATAAAAAATTAAATTGGTGACCCTCCACCACTCACCACCAGCATCACCATACACCAGCACCACCACTCACAACCAGCATCACCACTCACCACCAGCACCACCACTCACAACCAGCATCACCACTCACCACCAGCATCACCACACACCACCAGCACCACCACTCACCACCAGCACCACCACTCACCACCAGCATCACCATACACCAGCATCACCACACACCACCAGCACCACCACTCACAACCAGCATCACCACTCACCACCAGCATCACCACACACCACCAGCACCACCACTCACCACCAGCACCACCACTCACCACCAGCATCACCATACACCAGCATCACCACACACCACCAGCATCACCACTCACCACCAGCATCACCACTCACCACCAGCATCACCATACACCAGCATCACCACACACCACCAGCATCACCACTCACCACCAGCATCACCATACACCCGCACCACCACTCACCACCAGCATCACCACACACATCCAGCATCACCACACACCACCAGCATCACCATACACCACCAGCATCACCATACACCACCAGCATCACCACACACCACCAGCATCACCATACACCACCAGCATCACCATACACCACCAGCATCACAACACGCCACCAGCATCACCATACACCACCAGCATCACCACACACCACCAGCATCACAACACACCACCAGCATCACCATACACCACCAGCATCACCATACACCACCAGCATCACCACACGTCACCAGCATCACCATACACCACCAGCATCACCACACGCCACCAGCATCACCATACACCACCAGCATCACCATACACCACCAGCACCACCACTCACCACCAGCATCACCACACACCACCAGCATCACCACTCACAACCAGCATCACCACTCACCACCAGCATCACCACTCACCACCAGCATCACCACTCACCACCAGCATCACCACTCACCACCAGCATCACCACTCACCACCAGCATCACCACACACCACCAGCATCACCATACACCACCAGCATCACCACTCACCACCAGCATCACCACTCACCACCAGCATCACCACTCACCACCAGCATCACCACTCACCACCAGCATCACCACTCACCACCAGCATCACCTCTCACCACCAGCAGCACCACTCACCACCAGCATCACCACTCACCACCAGCATCACCACACACCACCAGCATCACCATACACCACCAGCATCACCACACACCACCAGCATCACCACACACCACCAGCATCACCATACACCACCAGCATCACCACACACCACCAGCATCACCACTCACCACCAGCATCACCACACACCACCAGCATCACCATACACCACCAGCATCACCACACACCACCAGCATCACCATACACCACCAGCATCACCACACACCACCAGCATCACCATCACCACACACCACCAACATCACCACACACCACCAGCATCACAGCACACACCACCACACCAGCATCACCACTCACCACCAGCATCACCACACACCACCAGCATCACCACACACCACCAGCATCACCACACACCACCAGCATCACCACACACCACCAGCATCACCACACACCACCAGCATCACACACCAGCATCACCACACACCACCAGCATCACCACACACCACCAGCATCACCACCACACACAGCCATCACCACTCACCACCAGCATCACCACACACCACCAGCATCACCACACACCACAAGCATCACCACACACACCACCAGCATCACCACTCACCAACCAGCGTCACCACACTCCATCACCATACACCACCAGCATCACCACTCACCACCAGTATCACCACACACCACAAGCATCACCACACACCACCAGCATCACCACTCACCACCAGCATCACCACTCACCACCAGCATCACCACACACCACAAGCATCACCACACACCACCAGCATCACCACTCACCACCAGCATCACCACTCACCACCAGTATCACCACACACCACAAGCATCACCACACACCACCAGCATCACCACTCACCACCAGCATCACCACTCACCACCAGCATCACCACTCACCACCAGTATCACCACACACCACAAGCATCACCACACACCACCAGCATCACCACACACCACAAGCATCACCACACACCACCAGCATCACCACTCACCAACCAGCGTCACCACACTCCATCACCATACACCACCAGCATCACCACTCACCACCAGTATCACCATACACAACCAGCATCACCACGCACCACCAGCATCACCATACACCACCAGCATCACCACACACCACCAGCATCACCACTCACCACAAGCATCACCACACACAACCAGCATCACCATACACCACCAGCATCACAACTCACCACCAGCATCACCTCTCACCACCAGCATCACCACTCACCATCAGCATCACCACTCACCACCAGCATCACCTCTCACCACCAGCATCACCACACACCACCAGCATCACCACACACCACCAGCATCACCACACACCACCAGCATCACCACACACCACCAGCATCACCACTCACCACCAGCATCACCATACACAACGAGCATCACCATATTCCACCAGCATCACCATACACCACCAGCATCACCACTCACCACCAGCATCACCACACACCACCAGTATCACCACACACCACCAGCATCACCAGGCACCACCAGCATCACCACACACCACCAGCATCACCAGACACCACCAGCATCACCACACACCACCAGCATCACCACACACCACAAGCATCACCACACACCACCAGCATCACCACACACCACCAGCATCACCACTCACCACCAGCATCACCATACACCACCAGCATCACCATACACCACCAGCATCACCTTACACCACCAGCATCACCATACACCACCAGCATTACCACACACAATACCAGTATCACCACTCACCACCAGCATCACCACTCACCACCAGCATCACCACACATCACCAGCATCTCCATACACCACCAGCATCACCTCTCACCACCACCATCTCGATACACAAGCATCACCACAAACCACCAGCATCACCACTCACCACCAGCATCACTTCACACCACCAGCATCACCACACACCACCAGCATCACCATACACCACCAGCATCACCGCACACTACCAGCATCACCATTCACCAGCATCACCACACAGCCACCAGCATCACCAGCATCACCAAACCAGCATCACCACACACCTCCAGCATCACCACTTACCACCAGCATCACCACTCACCACCAGCATCACCACTTACCACCAGCATCACCATACACCACCAGCATCACCACACACTACCAGCATCACCATACACCAGCATCACCACACACCACCAGCATCACCATAAACCAGCATCACCACACACCTCCAGCATCACCACTTACCACCAGCATCACCACTCACCACTAGCATCACCACACACCACCAGCATCACCATACACCATCATCACCACACACCACCAGCATCACCATACACCAGCATCACCACACACCTCCAGCATCACCACTTATCACCAGCATCACCACTTATCACCAGCATCACCACACACCTCCAGCATCACCACTTATCACCAGCATCACCACACACCAGCTTATTCTTCCAAACATCATCTTCACCTGTTCTTACTATGTGGTGGATGCAGATCCCATACACAGATTCAAATGTAGATATGATAAGAGTCTAATATTCTCCTGTTTTTAATCTTGGTAAAGAAAAATGCTTGTATATTTTGAAACAAGACATTAGTATTTGTATTTTGTACGTAGATTCTTAGTTTTGCGTTGGAATAAAAATAACCTGTTTTTTTATATATATATTTTCGCATAAATTACATTTCGTCATTGACTCACCTCTTTGTTCACCATTGAAGATAATTTCGGAAAATAAATTTGGTGGTCTTCCGTTAAGGTCGTCGTTGAGAAGGGACTCCTTGACAGCGTCCCAGCCGTTGGTGACCACTGTGGGCTGGGTGCCTATGTACAGGCCGATGACCGGGCCGTAGGAGGCGGAGAGGCGCCACAGCTGCTTGTGTGGGCCCTGTTTCTCCAAGTAAGGCAGGTACCCAACTAAAGGTAGTCGTGCTGGACCTAATGGAAAGAAATATATATTCTTTATTGAGTTGTGAAGCCAACGAACAAGTTTGCATTTATTATAGGAAATCTAATCAATAATTTGAAAATTAATTCATTAAAGCCCATAGGCAAAGCGAAATATTTGACAAGGTCTTGTAAGACCTGACCATGGTCTAGTCAGGGTCTTACCATGGTCACCTTTCCCTGGTGTCCCCCTGCCTGGCCTGGTGTCCACCTGCCTGGTGTCCACCTGCCTGGTGTCCACCTGCCTGGAGTCCACCTGCCTGGTATGGTGTCCACCTGCCTGGCTTGGTGTACACACCCACACTTGAGGGAATAATTCACAAGGGAATGAAATAAATTTTGTCTGAAGGGAATCGCCCATCCAGTACACTCAATTAACTTCTTCATTAGGCACTAACTTATCACTGGCGTCTAAAACGTTTCCAAAAATCTAAAATAAATTGTTAAAAATTCAACATAAGAATGAGTAATATCTTAAATGGGGTATCGGGTCAACGGGACAGGATAACACCCTGAAAACCAGGACGGTCATCAGCTGGGTATTTGGAATTATTAAGGAACTATTGCCGCAGATGAATTAATGTCAGGTAGTTTTTTATTATTATTATTATTATTATTTTCTACCACAGACGTGGCCACACAATTACAATGCTAACTAGCATATATACATGTTTAAGTTCAACTGAAGTCAGATCGATGTTATATGAGTAGTGTGTTTGGGGTGACTTTGAGCCGAGATAGTTCCGGAAGCTGTTGGTGTAGAGTGCTGAGGTGTGCAAATATGTGTATACAACGTCAGGTATGATTAGTTTATATGTTGGTTCTACTACTAATTGTCTCATTATTCTAAATTTGTGATATGAATTGTTATTTTAAGTAAATAATCTTTCCAATTCTTAGCAAAATGCTATTCACTATGTTCAGAAATTATATTTGTTTTATTAAGATTATTATACACATGTTAAGTCCAGCCAGCGTCGAAATGATTCGTACAAGTTCTTACCAGTTAACTTTTTCACTCTGATAATGACAACGTCTCTGTGCTATGGTGTAATTCTGCCTCTCTTGTGTAAATAATGTACTGTAATTTTTTATGTAAACTTTCCCAATTATAAATGTACTACCAAAAATTATTAAAGTTTTTAATTTAATTTGATTTGATAACCATTGCTGTACCCGGGCACCGCCGGGTACAACATCGACATCCATCATCATCGTTACTATCTTCTCTCTTCTTCGCTACTTTCGCTTACTTTTACCACCTTCCGTTTCCTTCACCACATTCCCCACACTTCTCTACCTTCCCTACCATTCACAACCTTCACTACACCCCCTTCCCTACCCTTCACCACCTTCACTACACCCCCTTCCCTACCCTTCACCACCTTCCCTACCCTTCACCACCTTCCCTACCCTTCACCACCTTCCCTACCCTTCACCACCTTCCCTACCCTTCACCACCTTCCCTACCCTTCACCACCTTCCCTACCCTTCACCACCTTCACTACACCCCCTTCCCTACCCTTCACCACCTTCCCTACCCTTCACCACCTTCCCTACCCTTCATCACCTTCCCTACCTTTCACCACTTTCCCTACCTTTCATCACCTTCTCTGCCATTCACCACCTTCCCTGTCATTCACCACCTTCCCTGTCATTCACCACCTTCCCTACCCTTCACCACCTTCCCTACCCTTCATCACCTTCCCTACCTTTCACCACTTTCCCTACCTTTCATCACCTTCCCTGTCATTCACCACCTTCCCTACCCCTCACCACCTTCCCTACCCCTCACCACCTTCCCTACCCTTCATCACCTTCCCTACCTTTCACCACTTTCCCTACCTTTCATCACCTTCCCTGTCATTCACCACTTTCTCTGCCATTCACCACCTTCCCTGTCATTCACCACCTTCCCTACCCCTCACCACCTTCCCTACCCCTCACCACCTTCCCTACCCCTCACCACCTTCCCTACCCCTCACCACCTTCCCTACCCGTAACCCTCCTTCCCTACCCCTCACCACCTTCCCTACCCCTCACCACCTTCCCTACCCCTCACCACCTTCCCTACCCCTCACCACCTTCCCTACCCGTAACCCTCCTTCCCTACCCCTCACCACCTTCCCTACCCCTCATCACCTTCCCTACCCCTCACCACCTTCCCTACCCCTCACCACCTTCCCTACCACTCACCACCTTCCCTAACCCTCACCACCTTCCCTACCCCTCACCACCTTCCCTACCACTCACCACCTTCCCTACCCCTCACCACCTTCCCTACCCCTCACCACCTTCCCTACCACTCACCACCTTCCCTACCACTCACCACCTTCCCTACCCCTCACCACCTTCCCTACCACTCACCACCTTCCCTAACCCTCACCACCTTCCCTACCCCTCACCACCTTCCCTACCCCTCACCACCTTCCCTACCCCTCACCACCTTCCCTACCATTCACCACATTCCCTCCTATTCACCACCTTCATTACACTAACAGGGCGCCAGACAGCTGAGTGGACAACGATTCGTATTCGTAATCCTGTATGTTCCGGGTTCGATCCTCGGTGGAGACGGAGACAAATGGGCAAAAAAGTTTCTTTCACCCTAATGCCTCTGTTACCTAGCAGTAAATACGTACTTGGGAGTTAGACAGCTGCTACGGGCTGCTTCCTGGGGTGTGTGTAACAAAACGGAGGCCTGATCGAGGACCGGGCCGCGGGGACGCTAAGCCCCGAAATCATCTCAAGATAACCCTTCATCACCTTCCCTACCTTTCACCACCTTCCCTACCTTTCGCCACCTTCCCTACCCTTCACCACCTTCCCTACCATTCAACACATTTCCTACCCTTCACCACCTTCACTACATACACTTCATTACCTTCCATACCCTTCAGCCCTATCTGTACTCTTCAACACTTTCTCTTCATCCCCGAAACCATTTTCACTAAATACCTGCATCAACACATTTACATAAGGAAGAGAAAGCAAGTAATTATCAAAAGAAAGCACCAAACCGGGAAGGCTATGTAGCACTAAGGAAGAGAAAGCCCTAAGCCAGTATGACTATTAATCATCACGTCGAAAATAATATGCCAAATGAACATTAGTTATGTTGTAGTCCGATATTTAGTGAGACTTGAAGTGTGTTCTTTGCTGTTTCATGCAAGGGGGCACAATTAAAGTACACAAATGCAGGAAAGATACAACAAAATACATCATCAAGGTATTCAAACTTCAAGCTTAGACACATCTCGGAAAAAAGTATTCAAATGAGATAAGATCGTTTCAAAGTTCACCAGATGTACTCACTATAAAGGAGACGAGAGAGAGATATCAAAAAATGAATACGATAAGAGTTAAAGAGGAGAGATATAGCTCCTGGTATAGCAACTCAGCATTAGACTAGCGGAGATAGCTGCCAAAAAAGCGTTACTGAAAGAAACATATCTGAATGTTATATAAATGCGACAACACAGGCACATCAATTTATCAAGTATGCGTAATTGAGACTTGCTTTGCATGGTCGCATTGCTTCTTCCTTATGTTAATATAGTTATGTATGAGACTCTCCCAGAAGTGTCCTGAAGGGTGGCATTGACTTCATATTCACAATGACGTTATCTACAGTCGTCCTTGGACCACTATTGATAAATACTGCACTTTAAATGGTTTCCTAGATAACAGCTGAATTTGTGCTGATTTAAAATAACATTACACTTTTCTCAAACGATTTTCTAAAGTGTCTGAGAACGTTGATGTCACAATAATTAAGAATAGGTTACCTGGGTAACGAAGATGTCACAATTATTAAGAACATGTTACCTGCGTAAAGAAGGTGCCACTATAATTAAGAATATGGATCCTGTGAATATAAGGAGCCTCGATAATTAGGAACATGTTGCCTGGGTAAAGAAGGTGCCACTATAATTAAGAACATGTTGCCTGGGTAAAGAAGGTGCCACTATAATTAAGAACATGTTGCTGGGTAAAGAAGGTGCCACTATAATTAAGAACATGTTGCCTGGGTAAAGAAGGTGCCACTATAATTAAGAACATGTTGCTGGGTAAAGAAGGTGCCACTATAATTAAGAACATGTTGCGTAAGTAAAGAAGGTGCCACTATAATTAAGAACATGTTACCTGGGTAAATAAGGAGTAACGATAAACAAAACCAGATTATTTTGAAACGCAGGAGTGACCAAACACCCGAAAAAGGTTAGGTCGTACAACGGTGATAAACATAACAACAGCAGCTCACCTGCCAGAGGAAGGTGTACACCCAAGGCACTGACTGACCTGGAGGGTAGCCTCGAGGCTTACGGGAGGCCAGGTAGAGCACGAGCAGCACCAGAGCCACTCCCACCAACATCAACATCCTCAACTAGTATGCTTGCTTCAGTCTGTAACTAAATGAAGATTATGATTTATGATATTGTTTTACATAATTAATAGAATACACTTTGTGTACAGCTCAGTGAGATACATAAGGATAATGTAACAATAAAATTTATGATACAATATATTGTATCTACTTTTATGGTCTATACTTTCACTGTATTAAATTTTAATTATTTTATGAACATATTTCGAGAAATTCTATTAAAAGCATTAAAACAGAATAAAAAGGTAATTTCTAAATTTCTAGAATTACGAATCTTTTTTTACTAACCCAGGCTAGGAGAACTTACCTTTCAATCTTTTAAAAGGCGTAGAACCAGTTGAGCTTGATACAAATTTACGAGTGTTCGAAGGTATTTTCAAGTTGGATATAAAGAAGGTTTGAAAATAGTCACACGATTGGTGATACATTAAATAAATGTTTGATTTACTTAGAATACAGGCAAACATTGCCCAGACAATAGTTGCTGTAAAGGAGTGAAATATATTACTGGCATGCATTATTGAGCCTGACAAAAATATTTATTTAAAAAAATTATTTAATATAAGAAAATACAAGGCGTTCTTTTCACTTGAGAATGAACCATGTTGGTTCGAAACGTTGTGTAAATTTTATAATAAGTGTAATACAATTATTTATTTCTTTTTCTTCACCTCGAACGGAGATGACCTTTGGAGAACTCCTCTTCCAATTAAACCAAGATGCTAGAACACTAGTCAGAGGAATAGAAGCCCTATTTTCTTGTTTAGGGCTTCTATCCCTTTTTCCACATTTCCATAGGCATACCAAGGTTTGTATTCCCCAACTTTTGGCAGGTGGAGTCCGGATTTCTTGGCGTTCACAGTTTCGATCAATCTGTTTACCTTCGTTTTCAATTCGGCTGTAGTGTTCTTCGTTATCCTTTGGAATTTAGTTTGGTCAGAGAGTATGAGGTTCATTTTTGCCAGATATTCGTCTTTTTTAAGAATGGCGTATATTGGCGACTTGTCACCTCTCCTGACGACTATCTCCTTGTTTTCACGAAGGCTCTAAGCTGCCGCTTTGAGCTCGGGGGACAGTATGGTGCTTCTGTAATTGCCTCGAATCTTTCCTCCTTCTGCAATAAGTTCTGCTTGCAAGGTGTCTTTGGTGGTGACCTTCTTTTGCTTCTCGAGGTCGAATATATCGTCCAATAGGATCTCAAACTCCACTTTCCGGGCGATCTCACTCGGTCTGGACAAAACGTGACAGCTTATACCCAGATTTAAGAGAGTAATTTAGTCCTCAGTGAGGTTGATTCCAGCAAGGTTTAAGAGGCCATCTCTGGGTCGTGGAATCGCCATAGGTCCTCCAAATAATGTTGTCAGTTTCTTGATGATCCTGGTTTCGGTGCTGTGGTGATGTTGATCTGAAAGGAAATGTCAAGACCCACAAGCCTGGAAACCCACTTCGGCCAATCATCAGCCAAATATCCACACCCACATACAGACTGGCTAAGCGACTCAACGGGTTGCTGACATCTTACATACTCTGTGCTTTCAGCCTGAAGTCTCCCAAGGAATTTGTCAACTTACTGCGGGGAGCACGGGCTACGGGGATAAGAACCTCGTTGGATGTGGAGTCACTATTTACGTACCTTTGACGAAACAATAGGGATGATAGCAGACAGAGTATATCGTGTCCCGGATTGCACACCTCTTGACATGCCAGCCTACCTACCTTGAGGTTACCCTGAGGTGCTTCCGGGGCTTAGCGTCCCCGCGGCCCGGTCGTCGACCAGGCCTCCTGGTTGCCGGATCGATCAACCAGGCTGTTGGACGCGGCTGCTCGCAGCCTGACGTATGAGTCACAGCCTGGTTGATCAGGTATCCTTTGGAGGTGCTTATCCAGTTCTCTCTTGAACACTGTGAGGGGTCGGCCAGTTATGCCCCTTATGTGTAGTGGGAGCGTGTTGAACAGTCTCGGACCTCTAATGTTGATAGAGTTCTCTCTCAGAGTACCTGTTGCCAGAAGGCATTCTGAGGAACCTACTCCAAGCCTGCACTAAAGAGACACCCTTCATGAGCCCAGATGGGCACATATATAAGCAAGTAGATGGGGTCGCCATGGGTTCTCCCCTAGGTGTCCTGTTTACGAACTTCTACATGGACACCACCGAGCAGAGGGTCTTAGTTGGCATGGACTTGAGACCTGCCATATTCTGCAGGTATGTTGACGACATTTTTAAACAGGTACCTGATGCCAGATGTCTGCAGCAGCTGAAGGAGGCATTTGAGCGGAATTCTGTGTTGAGTTTCACGTACGAGATGGAGAATAATGGGAAACTGCCCTTTCTGGATGTAACAGTCACAGAGAGGAGCGGAAGCTTCCACACTGCAGTCTACACCAAGGAAACTAACATAGGAATGTGCCTCAATGCCAATAGTGACTGCCCAGACATGTACAAGAGGAGTATTGTCAATGCTTACGTCGCAGTGCTCTTAGCCACAGCTCAGGATGAAAAGAAATCGATGAAGAACTCTATAGGGTTAGGCAGGTCCTAGTCAACAACGGCTTCTCTAACGGTTTCGTTGAAGACATAAAAAGAAAGATGAAACGCCATGCAACCTCTGAAGAGTCAAACAACACAACACCTGTACCCCCTATTAGATTATTTTACAGGAACTTCTTTTCGACGGCTTATAAAACGGAGGAAAGGGTCCTGAAAGATATTGTTGATAGGAACGTCATCCCTACAGACAAAAATCAGAAAATACACTTGATAATTTATTATAAAACCAAAAAACTGCAAATGTACTCATGAATAACTCTCCAGACACAAAGCAGAACGCTTAAAAGAGACCAACGTCGTCTATGCCTTCAAATGCCCTCTTGGGGACTGTAAGCCTCAAAAAACTCAGTATATAGGCAAGACAACAACATCTCTTTCCAGGCGTTTAACGATGCATAAGCAAAAGGGCTCCATTAAGGAACATATAATCTCTTCCCACAACCAAACCATCACCAGAGAAATCTTAGCCAACAACACAGAAATCATCGATAGATACAGCGATAGCAGGCGGTATGACATCTGCGAGGCACTACACATCAAGAAGTCAACACCAGCAATCAACAGCCAATTAATGCACAACTATATTCTACCCACTTCAAGACTCCGCTCCAATATAGAAGCATCAAGAAATATGGGCCAATAGGCCCTCTGCAATTACTTCCATTCTTACCTTCAATACCCATTGTTTCGTGCTCTGGCTTGTGTTGAAAGTTTGTTTTCACCTCATTCAAAACTGTTGTAACATATCACCTCACCCAAATGCAGGTATAAAAAATCGAACGTGTTTAAGTTATAGTTGTGTGTGTGTGTAAACTAAAGTCTTTGAAAATGTAATAAGTTTTACGAAACGCGCTCAAGTGTCGCGTCAGACTTGAAATAAAAATGAATTTTGGAGAATTGATTTTTCAATTACCATCAAAAGTGAAAAGAAACATAAGAAAGATCGAGAAAATTCGTGTTAGAATTATTAATCTTACTTTTTCGGTCATATTTCGACTACCTAACCTACCTAACTGACATATCATATATATATATATATATATATATATATATATATATATATATATATATATATATATATATATATATATATATATATATATATATATATATATATATATATATATATATATATATATATATATATATATATACATATATATATATACATTCATGCAGGCATTCAGGTTCCTCCCAAAAGGGAGGGAGACACAAGTACTCATAGGAGTGGTGAGTGTGAGGGACAGCTAGCCACCCCTCCTGCCACCACCCGTGTCCACCCCTGCCGCCACCACCCCTGTCATCCCTCCCACGCCGGCCGCTTGGGGGATGGAGGGGACTCCACCAACTAACCAGGAACCCCTCAGCCAAGAACTGGGTCCTGGGAACAGTGCACCCAGACGTGCAACCAGAGGACCCAGACTCAGAGGAACGTGTCGGGTGTGTGACGAATCACACAGCCTTAGAAACGATGGAACCCTACGTCAACACAACGGCTGTGAGGGTTCATGGACGGAACCTGTAGAGAGAGAAGGCCCACAGGTCCCCCCGGCACCCCCACACATCCCAGCAAACTTCATGTCATCAGATGACCTCCTGGGGGCCATCAAAGCATCCACCACCAGAACTCTTCCCCACATTCCTAAAGCAGCGCGCCCATTTGCAGCAGGGAAATATACAGACCTTTTAAGGAAAGTAAATGAACGATCTGAAAATCTTAATGCTGCAGCCACCATCAAAGCATGGCATAATTTGCTCCTGTTTGGCAATATTTGCTTAGGCGTACCTGCAAGAGGATGCAAGTCGCTAGCCTCATCAGTCACTAGGGCAATAAATAATTTCCCCAGAGCTGACAACTTGATCCCCATCCCTCCTCAACGCAAAAACCGTCGTGGCAGACCCAAGAGTTCCAATGACAATTTTAAACTAGGAACACAAGTGACCAAAAAATTGAAGAGGGCAACACAGTAGGAGCAATTAGGTTACTTACCAGCGAAGACACAATCGCCCCTAGAAATACCGCTACCGCCAACTCGCTGAGAGCGAAGCACCCTCCTAGAGTACCATGGGAACCCACTGCTCAGGACACAAATGTCCCAGACATGGGACCTCTATTCCTCCAAGCGTCAGAGGTATACCAAGCCATCATGTCATTTCCGCCAGGCTCGGCAGGGGGGATACACTGGAGTAAGACCTCAGCACCTCAAGGAGATGGTAAACCCAGTTCTCGGAGAAGTTGCCGAGACACTATTGTCAGAGGTCACGAAGTTTGTCAACGACTGCCTCTCTGGGTTGATCCCAGATACAATTAAACCATTTTTCTTTGGAGCATCCCTTTGTGCCCTCAAGAAGAAAGATGGTGGAGTCAGACCCATTGCCGTGGGTAACACACTTCGGCGCCTTGTTGCAAGGCAGCTATCAGAAAAATTAGCATAGACGCTGCGACGATGCTTCGACCCCATCAACTAGGTTTTGGT